TTGATCGCTCAATTTGTGGACCTCTCGTTCATTGGGGGAATCGAGAGGGGATTTTGACTGTGGTCCTAACTGTAAGAAGGTTTGACCAAGTGGGTGTTTTGAGACAATCCTAACTGTAGGAAGGTTTGATCGCTCAATTTGTGGACCTCTCGTTCATTGGGGGAATCGAGAGGGGATTTTGACTGTGGTCCTAACTGTAAGAAGGTTTGACCAAGTGGGTGTTTTGAGACAATCCTAACTGTAGGAAGGTTTGATCGCTCAATTTGTGGACCTCTCGTTCATTGGGGGAATCGAGAGGGGATTTTGACTGTGGTCCTAACTGTAAGAAGGTTTGACCAAGTGGGTGTTTTGAGACAATCCTAACTGTAGGAAGGTTTGATCGCTCAATTTGTGGACCTCTCGTTCATTGGGGGAATCGAGAGGGGATTTTGACTGTGGTCCTAACTGTAAGAAGGTTTGACCAAGTGGGTGTTTTGAGACAATCCTAACTGTAGGAAGGTTTGATCGCTCAATTTGTGGACCTCTCGTTCATTGGGGGAATCGAGAGGGGATTTTGACTGTGGTCCTAACTGTAAGAAGGTTTGACCAAGTGGGTGTTTTGAGACAATCCTAACTGTAGGAAGGTTTGATCGCTCAATTTGTGGACCTCTCGTTCATTGGGGGAATCGAGAGGGGATTTTGACTGTGGTCCTAACTGTAAGAAGGTTTGACCAAGTGGGTGTTTTGAGACAATCCTAACTGTAGGAAGGTTTGATCGCTCAATTTGTGGACCTCTCGTTCATTGGGGGAATCGAGAGGGGATTTTGACTGTGGTCCTAACTGTAAGAAGGTTTGACCAAGTGGGTGTTTTGAGACAATCCTAACTGTAGGAAGGTTTGATCGCTCAATTTGTGGACCTCTCGTTCATTGGGGGAATCGAGAGGGGATTTTGACTGTGGTCCTAACTGTAAGAAGGTTTGACCAAGTGGGTGTTTTGAGACAATCCTAACTGTAGGAAGGTTTGATCGCTCAATTTGTGGACCTCTCGTTCATTGGGGGAATCGAGAGGGGATTTTGACTGTGGTCCTAACTGTAAGAAGGTTTGACCAAGTGGGTGTTTTGAGACAATCCTAACTGTAGGAAGGTTTGATCGCTCAATTTGTGGACCTCTCGTTCATTGGGGGAATCGAGAGGGGATTTTGACTGTGGTCCTAACTGTAAGAAGGTTTGACCAAGTGGGTGTTTTGAGACAATCCTAACTGTAGGAAGGTTTGATCGCTCAATTTGTGGACCTCTCGTTCATTGGGGGAATCGAGAGGGGATTTTGACTGTGGTCCTAACTGTAAGAAGGTTTGACCAAGTGGGTGTTTTGAGACAATCCTAACTGTAGGAAGGTTTGATCGCTCAATTTGTGGACCTCTCGTTCATTGGGGGAATCGAGAGGGGATTTTGACTGTGGTCCTAACTGTAAGAAGGTTTGACCAAGTGGGTGTTTTGAGACAATCCTAACTGTAGGAAGGTTTGATCGCTCAATTTGTGGACCTCTCGTTCATTGGGGGAATCGAGAGGGGATTTTGACTGTGGTCCTAACTGTAAGAAGGTTTGACCAAGTGGGTGTTTTGAGACAATCCTAACTGTAGGAAGGTTTGATCGCTCAATTTGTGGACCTCTCGTTCATTGGGGGAATCGAGAGGGGATTTTGACTGTGGTCCTAACTGTAAGAAGGTTTGACCAAGTGGGTGTTTTGAGACAATCCTAACTGTAGGAAGGTTTGATCGCTCAATTTGTGGACCTCTCGTTCATTGGGGGAATCGAGAGGGGATTTTGACTGTGGTCCTAACTGTAAGAAGGTTTGACCAAGTGGGTGTTTTGAGACAATCCTAACTGTAGGAAGGTTTGATCGCTCAATTTGTGGACCTCTCGTTCATTGGGGGAATCGAGAGGGGATTTTGACTGTGGTCCTAACTGTAAGAAGGTTTGACCAAGTGGGTGTTTTGAGACAATCCTAACTGTAGGAAGGTTTGATCGCTCAATTTGTGGACCTCTCGTTCATTGGGGGAATCGAGAGGGGATTTTGACTGTGGTCCTAACTGTAAGAAGGTTTGACCAAGTGGGTGTTTTGAGACAATCCTAACTGTAGGAAGGTTTGATCGCTCAATTTGTGGACCTCTCGTTCATTGGGGGAATCGAGAGGGGATTTTGACTGTGGTCCTAACTGTAAGAAGGTTTGACCAAGTGGGTACTTTACGTCCAGACTCTAACAGAGAGAGTGTTGAGTGCATAGACATGGTGAGAATGGGAGTTCTTATTCATTACATTGCTGTGGTTTTGGGAACTTCCCGTTACATAAATCGTCCACCCCCAGTTTCCTCTGCGGAACTGGTTCGGACATTATTATCAGTTAACTAACCGGGTTATCCTTAAGAATATTAGCTTAATATTCTCCAGGAACTTCCCGTCAAAAGTGGGGAAACAGTTTAGACTCATATACCTATTGGAGTATCAGGGAGTAGTTTAACCTCTTATACCGGTCGGAGGATTGAGAAACAGTTTATACTCGTATACTCTTTGGAGTTTTGCCGTTCTCAATTGGCTTACCTTAGCGTTATGACGCCGGCTTCAACCAAGGTCTGAATGCTATTCTTGAGAGCAAAGCAATCCTTGGTGGGATGAACGACCCTCCTGTGGTATGCACAGTACTTTGGGTCCGTAGTGTTGTCAGCTTCCTCCTGATTTGTGATAGGTGGTAGCTTGATCTTGTTACCTTCAAGGAGGGATTCGAAGATGGCTGGAACGTCTTCGTCCTTGAAAGAGTACTCTTTTTGGAGTCTCGGACCCGAAGTCTTTTGCTGCCTTCGGGATTGCTGTTGTGACGCTTGATTAGCACCACCAGCAGCTGCAGGTGCCTTGCCCTTATTACGAGAGGCGAAGTTTGAGTTCAGCGGGTTATCCGTCGGTTGGTTCCTCTCGGCCTTTTTCCTTCTAAGGAATCGCTCAGCCTGCTCCCCTCGGACCTTCAGATCCTTCCAAGTGTCAGACGGTGCTGTTCCCATTGCTTCCAACACGTCCAACGCAAGGTTGTTGTGGCAAGTTTGGAGGATGAATTCCTCTGTGATCGGGTCCCGGCAATTCATCGCCTTGTTCCGGAACCTTTTGACGAAGGTGTCGACTAACTCCCCGTCCTTCTGCTTCTCATCGAGCAATGATCCGATAGATATCTCGGTGTCGTCGTCGAAGAAGTTGGCCAGGAACTTCGTCTCCATGTCATCCCAGCTGTTCACGCTTCCTGGCTTGAGGCGGCGGTACCAATCGAAGGCGGCTCCGCGAAGAGTGCCGACGAATGACCGCACCATCAGAGGCTCATTGCCGGAAATAATACCCAGGTGCGATTTGAAATAAATCAAATGCTGAGTGGGGGAACCCTTCCCATCGAACGGCGTGAAGTTGATTAGATTGAACTTCGCCGGATATGGGATCGATTCCCACTCTCTTGGGTATGGACAGGGAATGCCTGTTTTCTTCGTCTCTTGAGCGGAGATCAATGTGTTGATTTTGCTCTCGAGATCTTTGATCTTCAAGTCTTCACTTGTATCTTCGTTGGCATCCTCGTTACCACCCCCTACATTGACGGGAGGGTTATTGGCATTGTGAGCTCCATCCCTATCCGTGTGCTCTTCTTCCTGAACAACCTGATTACGGTGACTTGGTTCACCTTGTTGGTTCCTGAACGCCTGGATTTGTTGCTCATGCATCTCTCTCATAGTCTGCATGGCCATCTGGGTTCGTCAGTGCCTGAATTTGTTGCTCATGCATCTCTCTCATAGTCTGCATGGCCATCTGCATCTCGAACCTAATGCTTTCCTGTTGTTTGGCTATGGCATCTTCAAGCATCTTGGCCACTTGTTCCGCGCTTATCATCAGTGACTCGCGGGGTTCCCCCTCACTGGCCACTGTATTATCTGATGCGACTGCGGAGCAGGTATCCGACTCTTCACCTTCTGAAGGTACTCTTGTCCGAACCCTACCATAAGTTCCTCGTGCGATTGCTCCAGACTGCAGACGGGTTAGACGCCGGGATGCTTTCAGAATCGACTCGAAATCATCCCGTGCCGATGTCCCCTTGTTGGTCATGTTGGCAGTGACCCTTGAACGTTCACCGTCTTCGACCATTGTTCTTCTTCTTCGGAAACGTCTAGTCCTTGGCTTTGGCGTTTCTATGCTGAGTCTTTGGAACACGGAAACTCTTTCGGGAAACATCTTGGTGCAGTCGCACTCAGATAATATCGCCCGAATGAGTTTTGAGCAAGGACATCGAGTCTCTAATCTTTGAGGGCTCCTCTTTCTGGATTTGCTCGTACCTCCAGCACGATAGTACAGCTTGTCCGTTTGAAAATCGGAACAACCTCTCGGGTGTTGGCATGACTTCTCAGGTATAACACTATCACTATCAGATGATAATGTTTCCATCTGAGGTTGGATTGCCTTCTTTGGGTTTTCAAAAGTTACACGCCTCGAAACGTGCCTTTGTGGGCGCGAGTCTTCAGCGTGCTCTTGGACTTCGATGCGCAAGTTGGTGAGCGCAGCTGCCTTGAATTCTTTGTTATACTGGAGGTGACGGCGACCCCCAGCGTGTTGAGTCATTCTGGGCTTCTTCATCGGGCCCAAACGCTCGTGAACTGGAGACTTGCCTCTCTCATCGGGAATTGGACCGAGGCGCTCCAAGACTGGCTTTCTCCTTCGGGAGGATTCTGCATGATCTCCCGGAGTAGCTATGGGAATTCTCAGCGACTTAGCTTGGTTCGCCGGAGGTTGAATTTTGGTTGGAGGCTGCAGTTGCTGCTTTTTGGTCTGAACCGCCGCTTCAGACTTCGGCCTCCAAACTTTGCGAGTTGGTGGCGGCTTCTTGGCTACCTCTTTCTGCAGCTTTCTACGGGCTTCTTCAGCTTGAGCCCGTGCCTGCGCTGATAGTGCGCGGCGCTTATCCATTTATAAACACCCCAACTTCCCTTCTTCCATTGGATAGTAATGAAGAAAAATAGTTTATATTATTGTTTGTCTCATAGCAGTTGTTCGTTTGCAATGCAGAGAAAACTTATTTGAAATGGATTCTCAAGATACAAAGTATACATGGCCCTAGCGCTCCTTTGCCTTTTCTCAAATCCATTGAGGTACAAATATTTGTATCCTTTAACTGGAAAAAAAATAAACTGTATTTGCTAATAAGAATGTCTAATGACTTGATTGTTTTTCTCGTATAATTTATTTATATATGCATTTTGCTCATGCTAGTGGTAGATTGAAGCACATTCATGCCAGTGGTATAATTAATTCATGTATTTGCTAACAAGAACTGAAACAAGCTAACTTAGCTAATAATGGCTAAAAGATGCTGATTTAGCTAATGTGTTTGTTGTATGATTTGACATTTGAGTGTGCAATCATTCCCTGAAATCTTTAGTTGGGTATTCATTTTGTATATACAAACCGAGGTAGTCGAATAGAAGAATTTTGGTTTTGTTTTCCGTCTATTGTATATCCTCTATCTGTGGTTTTAATTTTTGTTTCCCATGTTTCGCAGGTGTTTATCTGTTAACAGAAGTGTTGGTCATTGGAGAATTCAGGTGAGCTTTGTTGCTGTGTATTTTGGATCTCAATGCATTAGTGTGCATTCATGTGTTTTGATGGTGTTCTACTGTTTATTGATTGGTTCTTTTACATGGGGATATTATAAAATTGTCCATGAAAATATGTATCCTTTTGGAAATATGATATAATCTTTCACGAAATTATGGCTTCAGTTTGTATTATCTTTTATGTGCATCATGATAATTCAAAACATGCTTAGGTTGGGTTTCTGCGATGCTACTAAAATGAAGTCACTAGTAGAAATACACATATGAAAATATGATTTAGATAATAGCTTGTACTAAGAAATATGATACTCTACTTCGATAACTCCTTGCCTTATGCATAACCGTTCTTCATTTTGCAGCATTCCTGGCTATTATGAGGCATTCTGGAAGGAGTTGGATGGTGTCAAGCAAATCTGGAAGAACAGAAAGCAAATCTGGAAGAACAGAAAGGAACTTAAATAGATTAATAATCATGTATCGATGAATTACATTCTTTCCTAGAAGTGTCATAGCCATTGTAAATAATTTATGTAAACATTTGTAAATAATTTATGTATCTCTCTACTATTTTGGTGAATGTATTATTTGAATATAATTGGATTTGATATTGGAATTAATTAGATTGTGTTGGATATGAATATAATTTTTTTTTGTTCAATATTGTGTACATACACTCAAAGAAGATTCTGCAAAAAAAAAAACCCTACTGTAGCATAGTATCCTAGACGGAAATTCCGTCTAGGATGCTTAAATTCCATCTAGAATACTTTTTAAAAATTAAAAAATTAAAAAAAATTTAAAAAATCAAATTCCGTCTAGAATAAGATTTCTAGACGGAAATTTTTTTTAGACGGATTTTTTAAAAAAATCAAATTCCGTCTAGAATACTTATTCTAGACGGATTTTTTTCCATCTAGGATAAATTATTCTAGAGGGAAATTCCGTCTAGAATAATCCGTCTAGGATGTATTCTAGACGGTTTTTAATTCCGTCTAGAATATTCCGTCTAGGATGTATTCTAGACAGAATTTCCGTCTAGAATACTACATACTAGACGGAAATAAACTAGACGCGTATTCTAGACGGAATTCCGTCTAGAATACACATCCTAGACGGAATTCTGGGTATCCTAGACGGAATTTTCCGTCTAGGATGCCTCAAATTTTAGCAGTGTGGATTTTAAGGGCTCTTGGGAAGATCATTTGCACTTGGTGGAGTTTTCTTATAACAACAGTTATCAGGCCAGCATCCAGATGGCACCTTATGAGGCATTATATAGGAGAAAATGTAGATCTCCTACCTGTTGGGATGACTTGGGAGAGCGGCGTCTGCTAGGTCCTGAGATGATAGTGCAGACAGTGGATAAGATAAAGACAATACGAGAGCGCCTTAAATCAGCTCAGGATAGACAGAAGAGCTGGGCTGATGATAAAAGGAGACCTTTACGGTTTCAGGTTGGAGAGCATGTTTTCTTGAGGATATCCCCAACTAGAGGAGTTATCAGATTTGGCAGCCGCGGAAAGCTTAGTCCGCGTTTCATTGGTCCCTTTGAGATATTGGAGAGAGTAGGAGAGGTGGCATACCGACTAGCTTTGCCTCCGTCGTTGGAGGGAGTGCATGATGTATTCCACGTATCACAGCTTCGACGATATGTGTGAGATGAGACCCATGTCCTAGACATCGCAGAGCTTCAGATTAGGACGAATTTATCATATGAGGAGCGACCGATGAAGATCTTGGATCGACAGGAGAAGGTCCTCAAGAACAGAACTATCCCACTCGTCTTAGTATCGTGGGGACATCATGGACCTAGTGAGGCAACCTGGGAGCGAGAGGATGACATTCGTCAATGCTATCTGCATCCCTTTGCTATAGGTAACTTTTAGTTTTATTATGGTCGGATAAATTTCGAGGACGAAATTATTTTTCTTAGGTTGGTAGGTTGTAATAATCAATATTTTTTTTTAGGAAAGGAGGCCCACAATCATTTTTTTTTCTTTTTCAAGCCTTATGCATAGGCCCACACTATGTTTGAAATTGAAGAAAAAAAAATTCCTTTTTTTTTCTTTTTCAAGCCTTATGCATAGGCCCACACTATGTTTGAAATTGAAGAAAAAAAAATTCCTTAAGGCCCAACTTTAGCAAGCCCATTTGTGTTAAGTGAAACCAAAAAAACAAAAAAACTCCAGCAATGGTGTTTGTTGTGATTTTCGTTGCAGACCTTGGAAAAAAATTTTCCAAAAAAAAAGATATCTTCAACAAAACCTCCGTGGCTGGCTAACTTCCAATCTCAAACCGGAATCCTCTGAATTTTTTTGTTACAATGACTTTCTTTTTTCTCCAATCAACCCTTTCCTTTAAAACCCAAACCCCTCTTCTCCCCATCTCGGTTCCAAAAGCTGCAGAGAAAAAAGAAAACAGAGAAAAAGAGGAAGGAAAACGCACCAGGGAACAAGAAGAGGAGAGGAACGGAATTTGATTTTTCTTTTGGGGTTCATAGTCTTTTCTTCGATAATTGGCAAGCATCTTTTTTTCCTCAATTAAATTTCTATTTTTTTTAGTTTATATTCATACCGACATTTTTGTTCCTCTCCTTTTTCCTTGCTTAAATTTCTTTTTAGATTGATGTTTTATATCTAGGGTTTATGCTAGAATCATTATTGTAATTTCCTTCATAGGTATAAATTTTTTATATTTTCCCTTGCTGTGTTTATCATACACTAGAACTTATAATTATATTATTCAAGTATAGTACTATAAGCCCCCTTCTAATTTGTGTTTTTGATTTTGACTGTTTGAATTTTTCATGCCTAGGACCTGTAGAGTAAACTGACCTGAGTATGGTTCATACACAGTTTCTTCTATGTGTTGACTTATTTTTCTAGTTGTGTCTACAAAATTTACACCTGATGTATAATTTACTCCTTATATATGACATTAGGTAACTAGCATTTAATGGTTAATTTCCTGTGTTTTATTTTCTCCAGATTGGGCATATCAACCGTGGCTTTGTTTTTAGTCAAGTCAGTTTTTATATAAACAGTATGTTAAAATTTCTACTACAATGTTTCAACAAAATATGAAAGGTGTTTTTTTTGACGGGCCACCCCATATCTTAAGAGTATATATTTTTGAAGTTATCTTAACAAATAGTATATAAGTTTATATATGTTTTTGTAACATTATATCTAAATGAAGAAGCCGTTGAGCTCATGGTTAGATAGGTTGTGCTTTACTATAGTAATTACGGTTGAAACCTATGACCATTTTTCCTTTTACACTATAAATTTTGGGTTCACTAAGAACCAGATTGATTGACTACAAATGTTTTCAGTTCGTCCTATCTTGTTGAAATTCTCAGTGCGTGTTTACAATTGGTTTGCTTATCCCTTTAAAAAGATATTATTCTACTAAACTATGTTGGATCATACTCTGGATTTGCTATACATTGAAATATGTTGTGTGGTTGAAATCAGTGTTAATTAGTAAAGTCATCAAATAGGCTTGACTGTGCATGAAGACGACTTCCGTCAAAAATATGATTTATAAGCGTGTTTTCATAGCATGGCTATGTTCTCGATATCGATATCCCGATATGAGATTTTTCCTTGGCTATTACTATTATTATAGCATCGACTAGATGATGCATCCCTCTTGATTGGACATGTTCTGGGTCACGGTTATCTTTCATAGTTTTACGGAAGTCGTTCCACGGTAACTCTGTGGTTAGTGCATAACATTTCATGCACAGTTACTTAGATTAAACAGACTAACATGGGGTTTAATAAAGGGGAATTGGACGGAGAATATAACATGTATATAAGCGGGCTTGTGCGCATCTTGATATCCTGGTATATATAATAAGGGCCCATCCTGACTTGAAGCCGTGTTCCCGGGACGGTTTACGGGAAACCGACTTATATACATGAAATATTTTTCTCTAATTCAAATAACATCTAAAATAATAATATTGTGCTTGTGTGTCTTACGATTGACCTTGTTTGATAATGATTATTAGCTTGTTTTTCTTTATCTATGCCACATTACACTTACACGCACACATTTCCTTCATTTTACATGCTTGTTGGGAGTTTTCTGACTCCCCTGGGGTTTGCATGCCCCAGATTCGGGAACTGTTCTTTCCTCACAGGAACTATTGTTTCCTCGCAGTGATCACCGTTCATTTCATTCAGTTCTCCATTTCACTTGTTTTAGGTAGTTATTTTGATTGAGACTTCCATGTAACCTCTTGTAGAACTTCAGACTATGAAGTTTTTCTTTCTTCCATTTTGGATAGTTGTGGACTCGTCACAGATCTCTGAAAATTTTTAGATATTTCTCTATCTAGCAGTTTTCTTTTATCTTGATTACATGATCTATGGTGTAGTTTTGGTTTTATATTGATATACAGGATGATCTAGAGGCGTGAATGTGACCGTAGGGTTACATTGCCGGCTGAGTCACGTTCCAAACTATTACATTTTTGGAACTGGGGCGTGACAGTATTTGAGATCCAGTTTATACTTAGAGATATTTCTATTCTATTTCAGTTGGGCTCATTATTGATATTTCTTATGCTTCTTCTATGTATATCCAGTGTTGCCTCTTTCTGTTTTTGCTTGTCTATACCTTCACCTATTTATTATTTTTACTAGAGAGATATTGATTGTGATAGTGAAACATGTCGTAGCATGATGGTTGGTACTTGGTAGGTTTGATAATCCGGGTTTCATCTAAGACTGCAGCCTTGTGTGAACCCTGGGACGTCACAGTCGGTATCAGAGCTCTAATTCTAATATCCTTAGGATCATCCTTGTGTCATATTATGGAGTGAGGATAGAGTTTCCTAGGGATCATGTATATAGTCCGCTAGGAATCCTTAGTATGAGTGAGGACGTACTATATATGTACGCGGAAAATCTAATTTTTTTTTTATGAACTATTTGCCTTGATTAATAAAGCATGCTATGAGGAATATGTGATACGATTTACTTATTGTTATATGTAATATGTTTCATGCTTGAGATCCTATTTACTGCGTAATAAGCTTTACTTTGGAATTATAAATGTCAGGAAGAGGTCGTGGACGCTGAGTTACACGTGCTCAGGGAGTTGAGCATGATGATAGGGAGCCCGAGTCACAGCAGGCTCCGCAGTACTTAGTGGATCTCATAGCACCCTTGGCAACTCGTTTGGCGGCTATTGCGGATTAGCTAGCAGACCAGGTTCGACAGGAGACTTCCGTTCATGAGGAGACACCCATTCAGGAGTCATCCATTCGGGAGGAGATACCAGAGAGGACACTAGCAGTTGCACCACTACCCCCAGTAGATGACGCAATTGCTGATCAGGAGGCTTGACTTCGTTTGGTAGAGAGGTATCAGAAGTTGAAAGCACCCGAGTTCCACGGGTCGACGGATTCTATTGCCACACACAAATGGAAGGAAGATGTGAGTAACATCTTGGATATGTTGAATGTTAATTCTATACAAAAGTAGAGGTTAGTGGCTTTCTACCTCAAAGGTGATGCAGGAGGATGGTATAGACTCGGTTTCACCCAGAGCAGAGGATGTCAGTTTCGTGGGAGACT